GATCCGTTGCCGGACACGAAAAAAGACAAAAAGGGAAAAAAAAAAATAGTTTAGCAGCAATGATATTAATATTAATCGTAGTTGTCATCATATTAAACACCATTTGCTGTAACGCTTGAATGTCCAGAAAAGGCTCCCAAATCCTCCCCCATGCAAACTTCTAATGGTAACAGCTCATCTTATAAACCATGTGCATGTGATGGCTCTGATCCCTTTCCAGCCCCACACACAGCATTAACAGCTTCGGTGCAGATATTGTCCTCGTGATTCCTTGCCAGGATTGCGCTGTGGAACTCAGAAGGAAGCCAGAATTGCCCCGTTGTTAGAATAGCCGATTTACAGACTAAACGATCCTCTTTGTTCCTTACGCCTAGATTCCTATAACTCGATGAAGAGTGCTGTGTGCCAAGGGCACTTATAAAGAATTCCCTTTTATGAATGTTGTCAGGATTACTCAGCAGGCTGGTTCTTTCTCTTGGGTAAGCTTGAACAAAGGAACGATTCCTAATGCTAAGGAAGAAAAGTAAGAGTGAAAATATGAGAGTGGAAAAGACAGATGTCAGGACAACAGAGGAACAGAGATTTCTCTGATAAATTCCTCCAAATGCCACAGTGGAGTGACAACGGTGATCTTTGAAATGCACTAGTCCTTATGCTGTTACAGGTCCTCACTGCAAGAGGCTATGAGCACATGTGGTCCACGACAGCTGCCAAGAAACTAGTTTCAAAAATGTCTAGATGCTACATTGGGTCAATATGAGTTCATATTCACTATAACTTAATTAGCAAATTGTTTGCTTTTAAGGTCTGTGCAATACGATTGTAGGGACTAATTTTAGTTTTTTTAAAATCATACTTAATTCATGACCGTTCTATTCTGTTGATTTATGAAAATATATATGGAACATTTCTGTCAGTATTCAGTGTTGAAATCAACATTCTGTAACTCAGATGTAGGCCTGTGCTATGTAACATGAGTTCCATTTGCAAAAAAAAATTTCACTTGCATTTGGGCAGAGAATTTTTATCCAGTATCGACCAGTTGCATTCTTGATCTGATCATCAAGCATTTCCATAACTGGAGAAATACTTATTTAAGACAATGTGTCTCATGAACTCTAATAAAAGGACAGAAAACATCTTACAAACTGTGAGGCAGAAGGCTTATGTAAATAACATGATTTGATTTTTTTTTTTTTTTTTTTTTTTTTTGGATTAGGACGATAGGAACATGAGAGGG